ATCTATTGTCTTTTTTGTTTATCTATTATCGCTTATTTTTATCCTACTCTTCTTTCATTTCTAATGTCTTTCTATTTCATCCCGATTTTTTCTTTCTTACTTCATATTTCTTCTGTACAGTACTCTGTCTATCTGTTGATCTTCATCTGTTACTATGGTATCTTCTCTGTACATTATTAATTTGTGCTGAAGAAGGAAAAACAGTGCGAGTTTCGAAAGCCTCACTAACATATTTTTCAGACTCCTCATCGTCTCTTTCTTTATCTTTTAACTAAGGTAAATAAGCTACCTTAGAGCTGGAACGGATATTAAAAACATTAATACATTAACAAATATAAGATCAAAAATTCCTCTTTCTCCATGGCAGTAAGCAAGAAGAACGTCCTTTATAAGTTTTACGTTACTATAACGACTGAATTAAAAGAATTCTTCTGCTGTTCGTTAATACTGAGATTTTTGTTCCATCAAAAGTTGTATCAGACAATGCTTCCTCAACTTTTAATATGTTTCCAGCACCGAAACAATATTCGAGAGCAGCTGAGTATGGAAGATATCATATTTCTGATAATTATACCATACAATTTCTTCACACTCAAGGACCGAAACATGATAAATTCATTCTTACATGGTAACTGTCTTAATCTGAATACAAAACAACAAATACAACTAAACATGAACAGAATTATGCAGATTAATTCTTCAGATGGCGCTCAGTGCATTTGTCGGAAAATTAGAAATTGATATCAGTCTCCCGAGACAAAAAACACTTTTATTCCTCTCAGAAAAAAACATGTTAATCTTTTAGCTTGCTATTAATTATGATTTTATCCATTTTTAATTAAATAGTTAGGGTTAACTGTTGTGACCACACAGCGGGTAATTAATTACAAACCTCACAGATACAAGATACTTTCATAACAGTGTCTTACACTTTTGAGAGTAGAGTTTATCCATAAAGAAGTTTCATTTGGTAGCTTGATCCCGTCTTCCGTAAAGCCTTCATCTTGGTCCTGCAGTTGAACAGAGTTCGCCTGCTTACGCTGAAGAGTCGGTTCCACAAAAAGTGGATCTTCGAAATCTTCTAGAAATATTAATTATGCATGTCATAAACACGATCAACCCAATGAGTTATTTTACAATTTAACTATACCTTTACCGTAGCACAAACTTGTTTTATTAAAACATTACTGATATCAAAAACACAGCATGAAACAGCTCCACATTGCCTGATCTATGCAGATGACTGAGTACGAAACACCGAAAACAGAGAGGGATGGAAGAAACCGAGGTATGGAGACGAATCACTGAGAAAAACGACTTTCGGCTGACAAAAGACAAGTAGTCGGGAATACCTTGCCGACTAATTCAGCAAGGAGAACAGAAACAAAACTAATGAACCAGTTATAGTAGTGAGGAATAACTCGCTACCTTAAATCTAACAATTTAAGTATTTTGGTTCCGTCATTCAAAACGATAGGGATATCGCCAGTGACTTAGGAAATTTATCGAAAAAACTGATTCGAATAGAAAGAGACGATGGGTGTATATGCAATAAGATGCGCATCAAACCAAAGGAGAATGTATACAGAAAAAGAGTAAAACGGTATTTCGGTAGGGAGAAAAATATCTGGCCAGCCTGAAGGCATACGGTAACTGCTCAACTCCAGAGAAATGAGGATGTTCAAATGGAGGACACAGGGTGTCAGCAAAAACGACCACATTCAGAAAATCTTCATAAGAGGCAATTTTGGTGTTGCACCAATTACAGAAAAGTTTACGAAAGATGGGCTACGTTAATGACAAGGAAATCCCAAAAGCACGCTAGAAGTGTGGTCGAAGCAGTGATACGTTCAGGCAAAAAAGACAGGGAAAGAACAAAGAAAAAGCCGCAATTAAAGGCTGAAAATTTAAACAAAGGCCGAAAAAGGCATGCTAAAAAAAGAAGAGAAACAACATTCTCCTGCCACTTCTCCCAATTCACACGACGTCGCGCACCATTCTCTTGCTTCTAGTAGCATAGGTGGGTTACAGGGTGGGAGGGGAGAAGGCGGGAATTATTTTGTGCCAATGCCCTAAAATACCACGGAACGGCTAGTGTGCATAAGTAGTCCTCCGGGCTACCAAAAACAGGAGGACGGTTCGCTACTCCGTGTAAATCCGATCAAATGACAGAAGAACGTTATTCTTACTGGCTGTTTTGGAAACTTGCATTTTGCTAGCAAATCAATAATATAGGGACTTATTTTCGGTAAAAAGGAGAAATATTATTTAAGTCGAACAGGGAGTTACTTAAAGCAGCTTACAGACAAAGTATAACTCCGATGTTCTGGAATTATAGCCACCACAGATGATAGCTTTGTAACTCCTCAGGTAATTAATTTTAAAATTGCAATTTCTAATACTGGAACTGAAACATTACAACAACTTCTGCCTAAAGGTAGCTCACAGGGCCAAATAATAAAAGAAAGTTTTATAAAACAACAGAAGCAAAAAAACTGACGGATAATTCTGTCATTCTAAACCCCCACTTTCTCATTAGATTTCTTAATAACCAAAATAATCTTCTTTCCTTACATATAATTAACTTATTATTTTATATCTTTGCTGATTTACACTGAGATATACTGAGGTTGTCTTAATCTAACTTCTCAAAAATATGCATAAAGTATTCGATATCAAACAACAAGAAATTAGCATTAGTCATAATCAACCATAAAGATCAATTACTGATCTATAATTGAAATTGGAGGTAAAGCGATTCAGGAAGTTGACCAACTTAAGCAACTCGGTTCCATCATCTCCGGTGATAGCATTATCCAGTCAGTATTAAAAAGTGGCATTGTAGCCTCCAGTGCCTTTGGAAACTAGTTTAATATTTAGACTCAGAAAGGAGTTACCATTTCGACAAAAATCCACCTATGCCTTGCTTCTGACAGTTAAGTGCTTTTGTACGGGATGGAAACAAATGTTATAACGTTCTGAAGAAGGTTGAACTGCTGCGTACAATTGCAACGTTCGTTTCGACCCATAATGAAGGTTCAGTGATAAAATCACGTAAGTAAAAGCTCAGTTCTGCTCTGGGCACAAGTGACATGAATATATGTAAGGCTGGCTGAGCCTAAACCGTTTATTATTCCAGCCCTGAAATTTCTCGTATGGGAGCTGAAAGAAGCCAAGGTGCAACACTGAGGAACAAGGTCAGATCAAGGCATATCTGCTTTTAGAGAGGAATAATTCTTTCTGAGATGCAGTAAGCAGAGAGTTATAGAAAATGTTGAAAAGTTGCGGATACAGCGCGCACCACAAGCCAGAGACATTATGCTTGTACAAAACGACTCAACAGACAAATATCAAATGCAAACACTTACGCGATGCAGTCGCGGCAAAAAAAGCAACAAACAGAAGCTTGTTGAAGAGATTCATTCCTCAGTAACTAAAAAACAAATGTAAATATTTGTTACTTACGGATATTATGGTAAGTAGGCGGAAGAAACTGTCTGAACGACAGCGATCAGTAGATATTTCACGCGTTCATCAAAATTGGTTTAAAATCGATGCAGACGCCAGAAACGGTAATTTCTGAATTTGTGGTTGGGTTATGACTTCAAGCCGTAGTGCCAGAAGAAGTAGTCAACAGTTTTTGCTATCTGGCAGATGAGGAACGTGGACGACGGACATTTGAGGGAGACCAAATAAATTTGTCAAAAAATATGACTCATTTTTCATTTATTCATTTCTGCGCCCGCTTTTCCTTTCAAGTCACAGCAACAACTGCTCCACGAGGTCTTTCTCTTGATGAAAGTCTATCGCAAAATTAACTGGATAAATGATGTAGGATGTGCGACACCACAATGGTAGGTTTTCTCTACGTATCCAAGTTATCATGTATTTCGCGATCAGCTTTTAACTGTGTTCTCTGTTGCTGTCTCAAAGGAATGCGATTGGAGAGTTTCCCTTTTGATTATCTTTACCACGTGTCTAAATCATCACAGTTGTGAACCTCCGTGTTGCAGACTTTTTTGAGTTTGTTCAGGCGAAAAGTCGTCAAAGGACACGTCATTTCTTCTCAATCTATCGAAACCTTTGTCCACCTCAGATGAAAATAGTGGGTACAAAGGATTAAAATTAAAACCCTGTCCACTAATGACCCTACGAAAACGTCACGCAACACTGATAATGACATCGATTTTGTCGTGACAGTAATCGAAACTAAAACGAACTGGATGTCTGAAGCTGAATCAACTGAATCCGAAATACACAAAATCAACTGTGTACCGTGTCGGAGCAGATACAGGGGCGTACATGAAGAAAAAGTGGAAAAAACGAAAACAGGAGACGACGATACATTCAAATCAAACACATTTCAACAGGCCAAATTCCAACAATAAGTAAGAGTATCCACTGCAATCTTACCTAAGCAATTAGCCCACTTCATTCATCAATTAGCTGACATTCTAAAAAATTTTTTAAATACTGCATCCTTTGTTGCTGCAGCATACTAATTCATCGCGTAACTCTTCAAATGTTTATATATGTTATTCCGCAAATATACCTTAGTTCTGTTACAGTTCGCCTGACGTTTCGGATCGCGTGTTGGAATTGTCAAAAACATAACTGAAGCCTTATAAAAAACCATTTAAGAGGCTGAAAGCATTTCTTACTTACCCTAACGGAGCAAAAAACTCAATTTCACACCAGTTTCACAAAATGATGCTCGTGCCAAAAGTTGAGGTCTACCGTTGTTAAGCTCAAGTGTTTCCTAATCTCAAAAGCACTTCACTAAGCAAAACCTAAACTATAACTATAACTTGATCAAAGACTAACTGATAAAGCAATGCATCGGAACTCTGCGTCAATCGACGCCTTAAATTCTGATATGAAACCACTGGCACGCAATCGATTATTTTGTACAATTTGCTCGGCCAACAACAAAGAAGCTAGGAATTGCTAGGCAACGCGTGACTTCATTAAGTTGTCGTCAAGCGACTGATAATGGTGATGTCACCGAGCGGCGGATAAGGCAACAAATTAGTGCGGGGGAAGGTGAGACATGGTTATACAAAACAGTATAAAAATGTACTTGCCGCATACAAACACAGCAAACCAGTTTTACTTATCTAAAGGATCCCGATTCATCGCTGCAGCTTGACTACTCTGATCAATCACATTTCGCGACCACCCGGAAGTTTGGTAAACGAGGAGTATATCACCCACACGCCAATTACACCATATTATTGTCCATGAAATTCAGCTAGCTCTCTATTATTTACTGTTTTGAAAATAGAGCATATGATCGGCAAAGCACCTATTTTGTGGGATGCATTTTAAAGCTATACAAAAAATAGCAAACATGGAGGATCTGAGGAACTACAGGCTGATCAATTTGTTACTCATCATCTACAAGATCTTCACAAAGGTACCGACGAACGGACTTCAAGAAAAACTGAACACTGCATAGCCAAATGCATAAACAGTATTCTGGAAACTTTTTAGTAAGATGGATAATCTCTAGGTGGCACAACAGATAATCGAGACTTATGAATAACATGTTCCTCTTTGCTCAAGAGGAGAGGAGGTTTTAGACTCAGCCTACATCAGTTCTGAATGGGATACTTTGAGGAATCTATGAACGCGATATCTTTTTTCTGTTACTACCCAAACTTCATGACCATATGTGAGGGTGGGAATAGAGACCGACCTGAACAAGATGAACTTCAGTCAAAGATCCAGCTCTGCTTCTGTTACGGAACAGTAACGTACAGTTCACGAATCACTCCACTTGCCATACTGATTAGTCGTTTGACCACCTTTTCTTATCTTCCATCACTACTTGTAAGTGTGATCCTAAGGTATTTGAACTTCATCAGTTCACCTATCTCAGTGTGGCTGAACTAACTGCAAAATCCATTGAGCAAGGGACTGAGAGTCCGAGTCGCCTCCGATTTAGTCACATTTATTCCCC